CCTGAAGGAGTCCTTCTCTGCTTTTTGGTTATGGTCACTGTATGGCCAGTGTTTCTCAGGAGTTGCCACTGCTCACCTCAGGTTTATAGCCCTGAGTAGTAGCTGTGGTCTATGTTAGGCAGGGGGGATCTCCTCTTACCCATAGAAGTTCTCAAGACAGCTGCCCCACTGCTGGGTTTCTTGTTATAAATTTAGTGTGCTGCTGCTCACTACATTTCCATGTACAGTCCTCTTGAAGAAACTGCTGATTCCCTAACTGTGGGATTTTCTCCCAACAGAGAAACTCAGTCTGTTATCCTGGGGCGCACAGTTCTGTCCGGGAAAGTGGGAGGTGCACTCAGCAAGTCTCTGGGCCAGAGGCTGATTGCTCCTCTCTGGACCTGGAGAATGTGCACCTAGGTTGAGTTGGCGCCTGGGGGCACTGCTCTGGTCTGGAGGCTGGGTGCCTCACTCTGGACCAGAAGCTGTGTGTCTCTGTCTGGGATGGCGGCTGCAGGCACTGCTCTGGTCCAGACACTGTGGGTGCAGCCCTCTTGAAGGACCAGGGATTCCCACAGTTTTGACAGTCTAGTTAGGGATAACTGGTTGATCCTTGGCACAGTATCTGAGGGCTGCTGTAATGGCTCTCTGGCTTTTGTAGGTCTGAGGATGCAGCTGTGTGTCCCAGTGCCCTAGGGGAACTCAATAGTGGCGGCAGAGCACAGCGCTCCTGCCTGCACTAGAGTCTGCGTGAGTCCAGGAAGTGTTTTGGTGCTGGGTGTCCTAAGCGTTAGAGCTGCTGACCCCCTCCGCTGGGGGTTTCCTCCTGCCAGAGACATGCAGTCTGGTGCCCTGGTGCCCTGGTGCCCACAGTTCTATCTGAGGCGTCGAATCAGGCGCGCAGGCAGGGCTCCGTGCAGGCGCCTGTGTCCTGGCTCTGGGTCCGGGCTGGCTCTTGGGGCACCCGTGGAACCCGAGTCTTTTCCAGGGGATGTCTGGGTAAACTGAGTTCGGTCCCAATTGTTTCCTGCTCCGTGGGGTTATCTCTCAACTGGGAAATCCAGTCTATGGTGTTGTGGGCCCACAGTTCAGTCTGGGACCGTGACCAGATCGCGCTGGCATGTAGCTCTGGGCTGGCGACCAAGCGCCTGGTGGAACAGGGATCTCTTCTGCGGTTTAGCCTGGTGAGTTAAAGCTGATTGAATCCTCCACCGTGGGGTATCCTCTCACCTGTGAGACACAATCACTTGTGTTTTATGGCCGTGAGTTCTGATTGCTGGTCACTTTGCCAATCCTGCTGTGCTGCTCCTCAGAATGAGAGTCCTCCCTGCGCCGCCATCTTGCCCCGCCTGTTGATGTATTTTTTATTTCCACTGGTAGAGTGTGAATATTATACATATAATATATTAAACACAATAATGAAGGTGACAAATTTGACTCAAATGAACCTGAAATTTATTTTAAGGAAGTAAAGATGAATAAGACTCAAATATTAAGGAAAATCATTTAACTATATAAGACATAAGACATATGTCTTAAATAAGACATAAATAGCTTGATCTTTCACCATTGCTTTTCTTCCCATAGAGAATAATTCCTCAAAATATTTCCTCCTGAAGCCTTGGAGACAAGATATTAGGAATAAAGGGAATAGATTTTGAACAGTGTTTTGACAAATGATAGTTGTCTTAGAGGACAAGGCAGGTGAGATTTTTAGACAAGGGATGCAGCAGAAAATTGTACACACAGACAGGACTATTAAAAAGGAATAAAAATGGTTCAAGAGAATATATGTCTGGGTACAATGAAATGAGAACCAGGAGGAAATAAAAGTGACTGTAAGCAGGCAGGGTGTGCTTAAGAAGTTTTTGACTTAAGAACGCTTTACATTTCACAGAAAAAAAAAAAAAAAAAAGAGCCAGCCATAAAAATGTGGGGAGTGGTGATTGCTGCAGCCCAAACAGTGAGATAGGAAAAGGGTATTTAGCAACAGCTTCATGACTACACTGGCTAGATCAATAAGCAAAGCAAGCAATCAAAACACAATAGATAAATCTGGCTGTTGAAATGGACAGAGAAAAAGAATGTTGTGGTACTGTTAAAGAAAAATATGAAAGGATTTGTCAAAAAGCCCAGACATAAGAAAGGAACAAAGCTGAATAAAATGCATGTTTTGCTGAACACTGAAGAACATAGACATATATAAGATTACTCTCTTCTAATCTAATGAACAAAACACTGCAATGTTCTTACTAGTGTATTAATTGTTATTGACACTAATACTATCACAGCTGTGTACTCACTATGTGACAAGAATTTCACTGTATGCTTTGTATATGTTGATTTACTTATTTAAACTTACCAATATGGACATTCTTTGTCATTTTGTACACAAGGACAAAAAACTTGGGAGTCTAAATTACTACCCCAATGTTCTGAAAATATATGTAATATAATTAGAATTAGAAATCCACAATAACTAAAAATAGGTTTTATTCTGACATCTTCCTTTATCAGTTGTAACAATGTAATATGGTATTACTTAATGTTTTAGCAACTACTTAAAAATATCAACATTATATAAAAACACAGCCACATATTGTACAACAATGGAAATGGGTTATTTCAGTGTCAACACCATAATATACATTCTAATATTTCTTTGACATCACCAGGAAATACTGAGTAATGCGGGAAATGTAATATATGAAATACCTTGATAATGAACTTCCAAATCTATCAACAGTGAGATATGAATCAAAAACTCTATTTTCATTGCTAATTACATAAGCAAGTAGTATTCTCTTGTAGAAAAATAAAAACAGACAAAAGAGCACATCTCCTTCTGTGTGCATGTACATATTAATTCAGCAGATTTTCAGAATTAAAATCAATCATTCTTTTTCAATTAAAGTCAAGATATATATTTTAGATATGGTCACAAAAGAAATCACAAATATAAGAATTGAAATTATCACCATAAAATTGAGAGGGCAATTTACTTTAAACTAAAATTGATATATTTCCTAGCAAAACTAATTTTAATTATTAAATAAATGCAATTAAAATATTCTGATAGAGCACAGTTAAAATAAAAATAGCAAAATATGATCTAAGTTCTGATCTGGCTTGATTTCTGGTATTCTACAAATTATTTTGAATTGTGATGCAATATTCTTTTCTTTTAATTTATTTATTTTTGTAATGCGATATTCTAATGACTTATTTTGCCAGTTCAATAATACCTCTAGTTACAAAGGTATATATTAAAACCCAAGGGATTGAAAACAGCTATAGCATACTTATAAATATAACTCTCAATTATACTACATTTTTTTTTACTGAATTCATTTTTTTATTGTATTTAAGGATAGTTCACATTTTTCTCTCTTCAGCTCTCATTATGCAGACATCTTGTGTGACCCTTCCTTTCCCTTTGTGAGCCCATGGAGTTCTTTGAGAGAAGGACTGTGAAACAACATATAAGAGTAGCGTACAAACTTGTAGAATTTTGCAAATTCTTGCAAGTGCAGATTGTTCTTATTTTTTTTATAACATTCAGATATTTTTGCCAATTGCATGCTTACAAATCTAATCAAAATAATATATATTGTATACACATATATATCTGAATACACTATGTATTCCAGAATATATTACACATACATACATATGTATATATACAAACTGTATATACATATATATATATATATTTAGTATTTTCTTTTTTTCCTATTTTTTATTTTTTTAATTTTTATTATTAGTTACATTTTATTAACTCTGAAAAATTTTTAACAAAGAAAGAAACTACAAAATAATATTGAATCATGGTGTACCTTCTGTAGTTAATCTTGGTCCTTGGTCCACAACACAGGACACAACAGAAAAAATTAAAAATAAGATGAGGATATGATTGACAGTCTTAACAGTAGCACACAACTGAATGATGTGCACAAATGATATTCTGGGATTCATAAACTTTTTTTTTGTTCAAGATTAGGGAGGAGGTCCTCCCCAATCTGTGAACTTGGAAAGGGGCAGGTAGAAGCTGAGGGAGGGAGGGTGGGATTGGGAGGCAATAAGGGAGTGGGATACAGCTGGGATACAGAGTTCATAAAATGTAACTAATAATAATAACCAATAATAATAAAATAAAATAAAAAAAGAATATTAACAAGCTTATTTAGCTTGCAATAAGTTTGGGAGACATATGGTTTTGTGTCCTTTCTTTAATTCTCAAACTTACTGAATATAATCTCTACAGTACATATTTCTCTTTTCTAAAATGGAAAACAAATTTTTTACTCATATAAAATCAATTTCAGAAAAATAATTTCTTGATCCATACTCCTTTCACTTTTTAATCATTTGTTAAGTAAGTGTAGACAATATTAACAAAGCAACTTACCTGCCTGAAAATCTTATAAGCATTCTGTTTAACTTCTATTTTAATTCCTAAATATGGTATACAGTGACATGTGAGCCATATCTGCCTTAGATATTTCTGAGGTACCTTCCTTACTCTTAGAACCCCATCGTCAACTATTCTTTTCATTTATCATAAAAGATTCTGCTAGTTTACCTTGCACCTGTTGAGGTATCTCTGGAAATCAAGCCCTTTACCATGCTAGTAAAACTTCAGCCTCGTATTTTTCACAGTCCAAAGTCATTTTTCCTTTATCTAAATTATAGAACATTATCTTTGAAACATACTTTTAGAATCATTTTGAGAAAATAAAGTTCAAAATATATTTAAGTTCTTATATGCATAAAGAATAGAATGTATTATTTGAATAGAGGAATGAAAGTCTGAATAACCTAACACTGTTAAAGATAAAGAGAGGTTATTCCAATGTACAATGGAGTAAAATATAAGCCAATCGAACTATCTTTCTACTTTTCTTACATCAGCAAAGAATTTGTGATTAATAATGTTCATAGCTTCCTTTTTCATCTTATCATTTAAACTAAAGCACATGGGCTAAGAATAGGCTTAAAGCAGATGCTGATCAATTGATTACCTTTGCTTGCACTTTCTACATGCTCCAGATCTTCAGGAAATTTCAGGATATCTCGGTATCTTTCCTCACAGACTTCAACAAGAAAATGCAAAAGGGTTGTTTTTTGATCTGCTGATTTTGTATCTCTGATCTGGAAAGGAAAATAATTTTTTGTCGGTTAAATAGATAATTTTTTTAAACAAGTGAACTAAAAATGATTAGGGAATACAGATCATGATAAAGCTCACTTCCATTTTTTTTTTTTTTATTAAAGCTAGGAGCTGTTTCCTGAAATGGCATACCGTGACATAGCTCAGGATCTTAAACTCAATACTTTATAAAATAGAAATAAGACTAATATAGGTGCCAAATTAAACCTTAATATATATTTTCAAAAATGTCTGAATCATTACAGAAAAATGCACTCTTCTTTTTATAAGACACAAACACTCATTTAAGTATTTATAATAATACTCCCAGTTAATGTGTGCTGATGTTAACCACATTCTGGTCTTCTTACAGAACAGGAGCTTACCCACAGTCGGCCTCTGAAAGACACTACCCAGCAGGGTATTGAAACAAATGCTAAGAATAATAGCCAAACTTTGGGCAGGATGCATGGAATCATATGGAAGAAGGGGGAGATAGAAAGACCTGGAGGGGACAGCAACTCCACAAGGAGAGCAACAGAACCAAAAATATCTGTGTCTAGGGGTCTTTTCTGAGACTGATACTCCAACCAAGGACCATGCATGGAGATAATCTAGAATGCCTGCACAGATGTAGCCCATGGCAGCTCAGTGTCCAAGTGGGTTCACTAGTAAGGGGAACAGGGGCTGTCTCTGACATGAACTGACTGGCCTGTTCTTTAATCACCTCCCCCTGAGGGGAGAGCAGCCTTACCAGGCCACAGAGGAAGACAATGCAGCCAGTCCTGATGAGACCTGACAGGCTATGATCAGAGGGAAAGGAGGAGGGCTAGTGTAGGGGCATAGGAGGCAGGAAGAAGGAGAAAGGATTGGGGAAATGAGAAAGGGGGGGGGGTACAGCTGGCATACAAAGTGAAAAATTTGTAGTAAAGAACAATAATAATGAAATAAAATAAATCACTAAATATATATTCTTGAAAGCTGCATTCGTTTGTGAGCTTAAATTTATTTCTAGCTATTATTTATGTAAATTATCATAAAGTAGTCAGCATGCTTTACACTTCTTTACATGCATGGGCCGTAAAGGAAAAAATTATGAAGTTATTTCATACGGAATTATAAACCCAAATTAGACAACACAGTCATGGAAACATGACAGAATTTATTAGCTTTTTGATTAACATTGTATTTTTTAGAGACACTAGAAAAAAAAATCTCATCAATTGAATGATAAAAATAATTTTTATATCTCTTATACTAGACCCATCTTCAAATTAAATCAATGATTTACTTATAAACAATACATAAACACAATGTAAAGTATTACTTTTTCTGTTTATTGAGGTTTTGATTCTATAATATTTAGATGATGAGTTTATCCACTGGTATTCATAATGATTTGCGGTTTTTAGCTTTAAAGATTACTTTGTTTAGAATAAATATGTATTCTTCACAAACAGGGTTAGGAAAGGTTACAGAGAATAAAGTAATTTCAAAGTATGTTAATCCTTATGTTTTAGTTACTAAAAATAATAAATAATCATAGCATTTATAAAATTAAGGCCGTATCAAATCTGTTAAACTTTTTATTAACTATTTATATCCTCATGACATGAACAAATACAAAAAACCAAAAACAGTTAGCCTTAAGGCTCCACATAAAGAAATGGCCACAAGAGACATAACGTTCCAGTGGACATCTACAAATGCAGAATGTATATATGGAAAACATTTAAAATGCTTTACTCATACTCATTCAATAAACACCGTTTAGTATTACAAAGTTGATTCTGACAATCCAAGAACATAATGTAAGAACAAAAAGCAACAGGAACCTCAAGTGCAGTTTATCTTAAGTAAGGCTAGCAGCTATAAAGGAATCAATGGGAGGCTCTGGTTCCCAAAGAGAACTCTTTAGCTGAGATTACTGTGTTATATGCCCACAAAGTGCATCATTTTTACCGTATGTGAGACATTTAAAAAATAATCCCTACAACTTACATCTGAGGTCCTAAAATAACAATCAAAAATAGGTGCTGAGGTAAATTACAAGAAAATTCCCTTCCTAACAATAAGAAAACTGATTTTTTTTAAAGTCTATGGAGACAAAGACATAAAAACAAAGAGAAAAAGGACTAAGACTGATAACCAAACCTTTGGCAGAGTGCAGGGAATCATATGAAAGAAGGGGAGTTAGTATGACATGGAAAGGATAGGAGCTCTACAAAGACCAAATATATCTGGGCACAGGGGTCTTTTCTGAGACTGACACTCCACCAAGGACCATGTATGGATATAACCTAGAACCTTTGCTTGGATGAAGCCCGTGGTAGCTCAGTAACCAATTGGTTTCCCATAGTAAGGGGAACAGGGACTATTTCTGACAGGAACTCAATGGCAGGTTCTTTGGCCTCCCCACCCCTCAAGGGAGGAGTAGTCCTGCCAGGCCACAGAGGAGGACTTTGCAGCCAGTCCTAAAGATAACTGATAAAACAGGGTCAGATGAAAGGGGAGGAGGTCCTCCCCAATCAGTGGACTTGAAAAGGGGCAGAGGGGAGATGAGGGAGGAAAGGTGGGATTGAAAGGGAATTAGGGAGCAGGACACAGCTGGGATATAGAGTTAAGAAAATGTAACTGATAAGAAAAAAATAAAATATGAAATTATGTATAAAAGAGATAATATGCCAAGTAACTTTGTGGTAAATGTCAAGGACTGATATAGGAGGGAAAAAAAGATACATTTGAGTCACAGGGAAAAAAAATTGTATTTTGTCAATGAGTAACAGGAAAAGAAAATGGAGAAAAAAACAGACCCCAGAAGTTTTATGTTGTATTATTTAATTCAAATCATGTAATTATTAATTAACTGATTAAATATTAATTATTATAATTAATAATTAACATTAAATAGTGATTGATTATTAATTGCTTTTAGTCATATGACATGTGAGAAAATGCTAAATTTAGAGTGAGCTAATTTTAGGAACGCAAAGGACAGCAATGTATAGTTTCTGAGAAAGCGTCTATGAAAAACACATTCTTTCTCCTGTATTGTTCATAATTATTAGATAAAGGAACAATTAGATTTTATTCATAATTATTAGATACAAAGACAATCAGACTTGAAGGTTGAGTCTAGCACTTTTTAGCTCTAGGATCTTGGGTAAATGCTTTACTTAATTATAAAAAAGGTATTAGATAAGTAGTGATTCTCCCAGACATATTTGTGGAACTTGATATGATAAAGTATCAGAACCATTACTGCCAAACTGGAAGTAATGTGAGCCTTCCTTTGTTTACTATCTCAACATAGTTATCAGAATCACCTAATTCTGGCTCTGACCTGGCTCTCTACTAGCATAATGATTTCTTGTCTTGCCATTACCCTCTGGCAATTCTCTTCAACTTCAGCTATATATGTGACTAGTGACATGAATAGTTATTATTTTTTAAAAGTCATTTATTAATTCAGCAGTGAAAACAGTGCCATTAAACAAATATTTGTTGGCTGAGTGAAAAGGTAAAGATTTTATTTTTTGTATCTATGAATATACATGAAGAGAAAATCTTCACCAGGAAGAAACATTCTGTTAGTGTGAAGGAGGGAAAATCAATACATATTACTTATGTGTTATGTGCCTATAGGAAAGGCACTTTGGTAGGTGCATTGTATGCATACATATGAAATCCTCAAAACAACCATGTGTATTAGTTACCTCTATGTCAATTTTACAGGTAAAATTTTGCAAGTATAGGGCATATAGCAGATTCCACACAGTTAATAAGTACTGGTGCCAGAATGTAGCCTCTTCATGTATGTACACTGATATTTAACAATTACTGTATTTACTAATGGACTATCAGTTATGAAGAAGGTATTTGTAAAGGGGAATCATTATGCAGGAAGAGTGTTCATTAATAATAATGAGTATTTTCTAATTTAACTGAATACAGATAATAAATACCATTTTTGTTTTTCCATAGTGGTTCATACATACTCTAGTTGTTACATTTATTTCATAACACATAATTTTGTTTACATACTCAATATCACCAACCAGACTGCAACCTCCTTATAGATGAGGACTATGATCAGATCTTTTCTCCTGGAATGTTCAGTGAATAAACGTTCCAGACAAGCCAAAGGTAATTAAGTCTAATTTGATGATTAGAAAAATCTTTGGTGACCTTCAACTGTTGTTTCAGAATAGTGTCAAGGACATAAAATAAATGGAATGGATAGCCAGGAAGAAGTGATAATGTGTAAGGATAATTTATTCAAAGTATTGACTGTGGATAATAACTGGATAATAGAAGGGGCAGTAGAGCCAGCAGCTGGAAAATGGTGAGGCTAGTGGCAAAAGTAATTACAATTATCATTCTTAATGAGTTCAGCATAATTAGGCTTTAGGATAGTAGGATTTGAAAGAAATAAAAATAGAAAATCAAGAATTCATGAGCATTAATCTGGGGATACAACTCACTGGGAGTCTTGCACAGCCTTGGGTTCAATTCTCAGTATTTTAAAAATATCGGAAACTAATTCATCGGTAATGACTACAGTATAAAACAGAGACCTCTTGAAAGGCATCTTTGGCATCATCTGAGAAGTTGTTAGAATTTCAAATCACCTAAATTGGAAACTCAGGGGTATGTCTTCCTATATCAGGAAAGGGGTGTTGTGTGTATGAGAGAAAAAAACTCCAAGCAATTCTGATATATTCCAAAGTTTGAGAGCCACAGTGACAAATAAAATGTCCAGATCTAGAGAAACTTGGGCAATAATCTACAGTTTATCTACAAAGTCTTGCAATTTTTAAAATGATGGGTTATATGTTTGATGTGTTTTCAAAGCTTGTGTCAATTTAAAACTGGAGAATTAGCTATCAGTTTGTGGTTACTAAAGGACAGATCTCCTCTAACTGTTCTTGATTAGTTCTTATAAAATGACAATGATCTGTATAATAATTTACCACTTAGTGATCCAAGAGCACAACAATCA